GGCTAATCTCCAGGAGCACGCTGTGCCAAGCCATCATCTGAGACACAGCGTGCTAGCACGTGGAACATTTTCCATCTTTGATGTGTCAGGAAGATGAAGCGGAACCCAGACGACAGGCGGATCTGAGACCTTGTGGAAGCATTGTGGGAGATTCCTCCCAGTCAATATTTACAGAGAATCCTGAATTTATTTTGACGTGCATTGATTAAAGAACATGTGTCACAAAGAAGTAAAGGAAATAAGGTTTTTTTATTATTGTTGAAAAAGTGTTGTTTTGAAAAAGTATTGGAACTCAAACTACCAGAAATGTGAAAAAGGACTCCAGTTGAAATCTTATAAAAAGCTAATTTTAACTTTATTTGTTTTTCGTAGCCTTGGGTTGCTGGGTCAGAAATGTCATTGCTAACTCTGTTTGTAAATTTGTTACCTCTAAAAGCCTGCCTCTGCTGCAAAGCAAGGGACAAGGTCTTGTTTTGTTTCCTTTGATCAAGGAGCAGAGTATCGCTTTTTGGCTCTGAAACAAGAAGTCTTAAATTTAAACATCCTTTTGTTTGTTTTTCTCAGTGAAATAACACAGGAAAAATGTGAAGGTGGCTGAACTAAATATATGTGTCTTGATGGTGTTGAATATTAGGGCCCAAGATGCTGTTGGCCTTTAGACATTTTGCATTGCAGTAATATCATGATAGGGCTCTGATTATTATTTGATTAACTAGCTGTATTTTTGCAGAGCAATTATGGTAATATAAATAAAAATGGTAGAACTATTGTAAGAATATTGAAGGAATGAAGACCATATTGATGAAAGGGGAAGTATTTACCAAGGTCAGCTTTCCTTTCATCTCTGAGGTTCTTCCTGGTCAAGGCAAAACAAAGCATGGCAGGTGATGAGCCATTGTGTAACGATAGTGCGTTGCTCTGGACACATGTAGGGATTTTGGCAGGCCAGTCTATACTGTAATATCAAATTAGTTAAGCAAATTTTTGTTTCAAGGGCATTAAGCATCATAGTGGATGAAGTATTCAAAACTTAAAAACGAGAGTATGAGATATGTGTAGGTATCTGGGAAAATACTGTTATCTCTCATATTACCCTAGGAAAACTTTCCCTCCCCCCACATTGAATCAAGCATGATTACATGGATTATCTCATTTCATTTTCACAACAACTTTATGGGGCAGGTCTTATTATTATAATAGCCATTTTGTAAATAAGGAAACAGGCTTAGAGTGGTTTTACAATAGCTAGAGAATTTAAGAGGTCTTTAAATTAGATTAAAATTGGGATCATACTAATTGGAACTATATATAGATAGGTATGTAGATATAGATATATCTGCAGTGTATTTTTTTGGCTTAATAATATATGTATTTTGAGTCATTCGTGTCAGCAGAGGTAGATCTTTTAATTATTGCATAAAATTACATATTTGTATATATCGTAATTTAGTAAGACATTTTCTCTATCAGTGGACATTTAGGTAATTTCCCCCTTTGAGCTATTATAAATAGTGCTGTAATGAACTTGCTTGCACATACATCTTTGTGCATACTTACAAGTATCTCTATAAATACTTCGATGTAGCATTATTAGGTCAAAGGTATGTACATTTAAAAATCTTGATAGCTATTCTCAAATTATGCTTTTTTTCTGTGCTTTTCCAAGAGTATTCTTTTTCCTATGTCCTCACAAACTCTGGATGTTGCAGTCTTTTTTTTAAACCATTCTTATGGGCAAGTACATGGTATTTCCTTGTTGTAATGTACATGTGCTTAATTTTTAATTAAGTCGAGCATCTTTACATCATTTATTGAACATTAGTGTTTCTTTGTTGAATTCTCAATTAATTTCTTTTTCCTGACGTATGTATGCAGTTGTTTGAGTTGATAAAGCCTTTTATATATTATGAATATTCATATTTCATCTTGATATTTGGCAATATTTTCTCCTAATATTTGACTTTTCTTATTACTACATTATGGTATATTTTGTTGTCTAGAAGTTTTTAGCACTGATTTTTAATCGAATAGTTTATTCATTTTCTTTAGGATTTCTAGGATTTGTGATTTTGTAGGAAGCTCCTCCCTAGCTCATTAAACATTGTCCCATATTTTCTTCTAGCACTTTTATGGTTTATTTTTTGTTCTTAACCTATCTGAATTTTACTTTTGTTAATGACATGAAATAGGAATATTTTTTCAGATGGATGTTTTATTCTTTCTCTCCTATTTATTGAATAGACTACCCTAACTAATTTGAATAGAAAAGTAGAGGAGTAGAACAGAATAGAGTACAAAAATAGATCTACCCTGAGGCCAAAACTATACTGCCTTAAAAACTGAAGTTTTATTTTATGTTTTGATATCTGATATGATCTGTTTCCATCCTTATTATTCTTTTTCAAGCAGTTTGTTAGTTTCCATGAAAAATGTGAGTGAGATTTTAATTTTAAATGCCCTGAATTCATAAATTAAATTGGGGCAAACTGACATTTACAAGAATTCAGGAGCATAGATGTCGAGGAACATGGTATGGCATTATACTTATTCAGGGCTTTTTGTATTCTTCAGTTAAGTTTTATAGAGAAAGATGTCCTTGCACATTTATAATCAGTATTTCCTGGGTATTTTATAGTTTCTGATCTTTTCTGTTATACTTTCTAAAGCTATTATGGTTTTTTTTGTGTGTGTGTGTGTATTAGTTTTTTTATTCTGTTACCTTACTGAACTCTTATTAGTTCTAATAGTTTTTCTGTTAAACCTCTTAAATTCTACAAGTAAACAATAGCTTAATATGCAAATAATGAATTCTAGCTTTTATTTTTCCAGTTATTTGTAGGTTTTCCCTATGTGCCCACGTAATTTACCAGACTATGAGCAAGTTGAAGATGAACAGTATCTTACATTATTTCTTTTCTACAGAATGAAATGGTGATATAGTCTTCTGATTGCTAGATGCCTCAAAAATTATTCAAAGTACCATTTTCCAATATGTAGTCATATGGTTTTCTGTCTGTTTAATTTTAGGATAGTCTCAAATGAACTTTATAAACAAGCCTGATTGGGGAAGAACATTTGATAGCAGAGTGTTTTGGGATCCTAAAAAAAGTCAGGAAGATGTTATTTGAAACAGTTCTCCCATACTTACATTATATATATGTATACATGCATTCACACACACACATATACATATGTATGTATACACACACATTTATTTATTCACTTACTGTGTGGTAGCAAAATTGAGCTATGTTCCAGAATGAATATTGTTTAAATCCTTGTTCTGCAGTCATACACTTGGACCTATTAACAGAAGTAGACTAGTGGCAAACAATAGAATAATTTCCAGTCATAGCTGCCAATAGTTTCCAGGACATGTAAGTTTCAGGTCCAGATAACTTTTTCTGTGTGTTGTTAACATTTGCTCTGCTAGGCATGTTGCATTGTAGTCCACTCAACTGTTAATGTTTTCCAAAAGATATATATTTAGATTTTATTTTTGTCTAGGGTCTTATATTTGACATATACATTTTACCTCTTTTACACTTGAATATATGAATCCTTGTTTATTCTTTAAGACTCAACTCAAATATTTCCCCTCTGTGGAATTCTTCCCTTTCTTGGGCGAACAAAAAGAATTAAATGGTATATTCCTCCTTTACATCAGTTATCACATCGTATTGTAGTTATTTATTTTGATTTATGTGTCCCTGTTAAGCTGTGAGCTACTTGAGACTGTGCCTTCTCCAATGTCTAGCACAATGTCTGGCATAGAATTCGTTCTCTGTAAATTTTTGATCAATGAATAAATGTGAATAATTGATTACCAAAAAATATAAGGGAAGTGCAAGATCAAAACGGCTATCCAAAAGAAAGTCATAAATGTGACAGTTTAAGAGAAATATTAGAGGGTCCTTTGGAAGGAGCATAGGAAGCATATTTTATGAAAAGATTAATAAAAAAGATACAAACCCCATAGTTTAGAAATGTGCATTTTGATGCAGTAATGTTTATTATGGTGGAGAAATGTGGTAGAGTGGCGTGAGGCTATGAAAACGTTGAAAGTCAGGAAGAATAATGGTATCCATTCTGCTACAAATTCTATGAATGATGATTTTGAGACGTATATACCATTAAGAACCATACTGTATCTGCTTCTATATACGTAATATGTGTTCCTGGTTTATAGGTTACTGTATCTAGCATATAGGAGTTGCCGGTTTTCCAGTAATATGAACATAAAACACACCTGGACTAGCAGGGCCAGCATTGTAGGTAATAGGCTTGATTTCTTTCATCTCTGAACTGCTGTTCTGCTTTCTGTTTTTATTATAGCTTTTTATGTACTTTTTTTTAAACACTACTCCTAGATTTTAAGATTTTGGGGGATGTTAACAGAGTTTTTCCAGGCACAGTTTAGTTACGTAATAATTGTTGAATTTAAATGAAAATGTCAGTTTTTATTATGCGTATTAATTGGCCTTAACGAATTATACATTTCTTTCATTCTTTTAAATATTCTTCAATGTATTAAGAGAGGGACTGTATACTTATTTCTACTTACTTTTCAAATAAAACAAATATTTCAGCAGAAATAAGGGCAGGTAAGCTTCAGGATTGCTTAGGTAGCTTCAGGATGCTTCACCTTAATTTTGTCAGGAACCAACAGAGCATTGAAGCTAAAATGGTATACTCTAATTCTATAAAAGGTGATGAATATTGCTGCCTAAATAATGTATTCTGTGGCTACTGTTGTCTCCCAAATTATTAAAAGTGGTAGAATGACTCGAACATTTTTTTAAATTAGTAAGATTTTTATTCTGATTCAGTTTTACTTTTCTTAACATCTCAATTGATTTTAAAGACTGAGCAGTTGTTTAGAAGAAATTCATCATACAAAATTTTTAACATATGTAGTTTTGGATACTTAGCAGATTTTTCTTTTATTAGGAAAGCCATCATTTCTGGATTATCATCTTTTTGTTGACCTCTTACTACAGGTTTTCAGCACATACTCCAATGAAGACTATGACAGGAGAAATGATGAAGTTGACCCTGTGGCTGCTTCAGCCGAGTATGAACTTGAAAAGCGTGTAGAAAAGCTGGAACTTTTCCCAGTGGAACTAGAGAAAGGTACATGAGTTCTACAATATTTATAATATCATTATATTGCTATGTTAATAATATGGAAATGACTTAATTTTCCTAAGCATAGCCTTTCTTTTCTAAGGATTGGATAAAATGTTAATTTTCATGAAGAGTTTTATTTATTAAATTTTAAGAATAGTTGATATGAATTCTGTATAGATGATGAATTGAAGAACTCCGTCCTCCCTTCCGCTTTCAACTGAAACCCATCCACTTTAGTTGGCTGGGATGGTGGCTAGGAGTAGGGAGGTATGAGTGAGGCCTGATGTTTTGTTCATACTTCTGCAATGGCTGGTGCAGGTGAGAGCCCAGAGAGAGCTGCTGTGAGTGAGAGCTTGGGGCACGTGGTTGTTTTTGCTTTTGTTGTTTCGGTAGATGGAGAGTGGTCATGGTTAGACTCCAAATGTGGTAGATATGGGGAGTGCCAGGCCTTTAGAAAATTATGGATTTTGGAATGAAAGCAGTGGAATCTTCTTCATCTCTGAGAGGATAGGGCTAAAGGAGAGCAGGGAGATCTGGAGCAGGGGGCTTCCTTCTGATTTCTCTCCCAGGAATCACTGCCTGCCTACTGCAGTCACTGGCGACCTATGGGGCCAGAGACTGCCATGGTTATCATCATGTAAGATGGACACCTGGGAATTGGGCTAAGACCCAATGAACATAAATATATCACATCTCTCCGAGCTTTGGAAAAAAGCAGAACAAACGGATGACAGCTTGAAGAACAAAAAAGAAACAAACAAAAAACCAAATAAGGATATTCAAGTATGACTTACAAAAGACATTCTTAAGCAAATTAACAACAACAAAAATGTTGATTTTAAAATTAAAAATTTCAATAGGGGAATTGAAGAGGAATGGATGGTTATTGTTGAAACTCAAATTGGTGACCTAGAATGTCAAGCATGAGAAATGTCCCAAACTAATTCTCAAATGACAGGGCAAAAATCCAAGAAAAATCATGACAGAGACCCAACATAAAAATTGTAGGTAACAGAAGGGGAAAAGACAATGTAGGATGAGAGATATATTAGACAAATAATAGAAGAAATTTTCTGGAGCTCGAAAAAGACCTGAGCCTCATATTTGAAAGGGCTTAGCCAATTGGTTGTGAGTGAGAGGACTTAAAAAAAAAATCCCACGCTTAGGCATAGCCTGGGAAAAATTCTAGTCTTCAACCTTAAAGTGAAAATCTTGCAAAATACCAGGCCAAAAATCAAAACAAACAAAGAAGCAGAAGTATTTGCAAAGGCAAAATTATTAGACTAGCATCAGACTTCTCATCTGTGACACTGGAAGTGGGGAGACATGCATATAATTTCACATACCACTGAGAAGAAAAAGGATGATGATCCAACAATCCTACATCTCTTCTGGAGAGCATTTACCTATTCTGGTGAAAGAAAGAAATTTGCTGATATGTAGAGATGTAAAGAACACATCACCCACATACTTCCCACTTAGTAGGGAGGAAAAGAAACCAAGACCATCTTGTTCAAAACAGCAAGGTGAGGGGAAAAGAGTTGAAAACTTGTAAGTATTAAGCATAAAATTATTTGGATAAAAAAAAATATAAAGAATACAATTGCAACAAAAAGAATAAAATACCTAGGAATAAACTTAACCAAAGAGGTGAAAGATCTGTACACCGAAAACTATAAAACATTTCTGAAAG